AAGGAAGGAAGGAAGGAAGGAAGGAAGGAAGGAAGGAAGGAAGGAAGGAAGTCTACTCCAGGGAAGAAGAGTTGGAGTTGGAGCTGGGGAATTGAAAAGGAAAATGAGAGAGATCAATGCAGGGAGGAGTTCTTCAGTTCAGTTTTTGGGACTCCACCTTATTCCTGCTGAGACCTGCTGAGGGACAACAGAGAGAGCATCACAGAGTTGTGCTGGAGAGGAAGAGAAGAGAGTAGCTATCCTTGACCTGCTCCCACATACATTGGTCAAGGGTTCTCCATAGAACACATCTACATTTGTGCATGTGTGAGCACCAAGCAGGGCCTGCAACTGTCCTTCCCCAGATGTCCTAGGGAACAGGAAGAGATGACCAGTGTGACTGAGATAGCAAGCTTCTGTGGTAGGTTGGCCCACATAAGCTCATAGGGAGTAACACTATTAGGAGTTATGGCATTGTTAGAGTAGGTGTGGTCTTGTTTGAGGAAGTGTATCACTGTGGGGGCTGGCTTTGAGGTCTCATTTGCTCAAGCTACACCTAGTTCAGTTCACTTCCTGCAGATTAAAGATGTAGAATTCTCAGTTCCTTCTCCAGCACCATGTCTGCCTGCACACTACCATGTCCCACCATGATGATAACAAACTGAACCTCTGAACTGTAAGCCAACCCCAATTAAATGTTTTCCTATAAAAGAATTGCTGTGATCATGGTGTCTCTTCACAACAATAGAAACCCTAACTAAGACACTAAGGTCATATAAAGCCTTCTTGAAGGTTGTTGCCTAGAAATGACAGGACTAAGAGGTAAGCTATGAGATGTAAGGCAGGATTCAAGGAACATCCTGAACAGAATCACTGGTGATGCTGTTACAGGAGATAATGCCAACACAGGTTTTGGAACATATTTCTCCTGGCCAAGAACTTTGAGCTCAGCAGTGGGTTTGCAGCATTACAAGGCCTAAGGCACTTCTTTGCATATTGGGGTCTGAAGGAAGAGAGATGCCCACGTTCATATCTGTATTCAGGATTTCATAGTCTATTGCAATCCATGTGGCTTCTAGCTAAAGTATCCCTCTATCTTAGTCACTGTTCAGTTGTTGTGAAGAAACACCACGACCTTGCCAACTCATAAAAGAAAACGTTTAATCGTGGGCCTGCTTACAGTTTCAGAGGTTAGTCCATCATCAATCATCATGGCAGTGATCATGGCAGCACGCAGGCAAATGGGGTGCTGGAGAAGGGGCTGAGAGTTGTGTATCCTGATCCATACATAGGCAGAGAGAAAGACTCTGGCCTGGCAATGGGCTTTTGAAACCTCAAAGTACACTCTCAATGCCATACTTTCTCCAACAAGGCCACAGCTCCTAATTCTTGTAATCCTTTCAAACAGTTCCACTCCTTGGTAACTAAGCATTCAAAGTCTATAAGGGCCATTATTATTCAAACCCCCACACCCTCACACAATAGGCAACTGACTTTAAACTACCCCACAGACACTCCTGAAATTCCAGAAAACACAAGAAAATATCAGAGCTAACCCTTCAACTTCCAATCACTTTACAAGGTTAAATAAAGACAGTATAATTAGTTTGAAATCCAAATAGATGTGAATTACTCTTTGAAAGTTGGACCCAGTTTATATTCAGTATGGTTAACAGTCACCATAATAAAAGTGTACATTGTGTGTCAAATTATTAGCTGATGATGTTCTGAATCTATTGTGATCATCAAGACACAGAAAATATTCTTTTACATTTATTGCCTCATTCTTGATATTTACCTTTTAGGTATTTGTCATATTTACAACAAACATACATAAAGTTAAGAAGGAAGACTCTTGCATTGACTGCTTGGAATCCACATCTCTGCACCATGAGCTGCTGTGAGCACAGGGAGGGAGAGTTGCATGTAAGAAGACGGTGACTTGACTGTACGTGGTAGCTGAACGGATGGTGAGGCAAGATCAGGAAAGGATGAAAGTGATATGAAGGCTTCACACTGGAATGATGTTCAGATGAGTGGCATTTCAGAAATGGATGTCTGGAGAAGAGGTGACATGGTGATCTTTTAAGATGCCTTGCTGTGTTTTCAAGTAAAAGATTCTCCAACCATTTGAGTCTTTGTCCTGGACTCAGCCACATATGTCCCATGCTGGATTCTAATTCTCAGACTCTAAGTAGAAGTTAGTGTTATTAACTTCACCCCTCTGCTGTGTGAGAATGATTGCCTGTCTTGCTGTGGAAGGGGTGGCTATGAACCAGCCAGGATAGGCGACTGACTGAAAGGTAGAAGTGGAGCCCTCTGTGCTGTGGTAGAAGAGAAAGGCTTTCTGTGCTTTATTCTCATTGTAAATGTCCATGATGTCCACATCCTAGGATAAGAAAGAGGCTTGTTAGTGAGGAGGACCCGGGAGGGGCTACAGCAACCGAGCACTAAGTGCACATCATGGGAGTAAATGCTATGCCCAATAGGAGGGACATGGGTCAGGGATACAGGCAAAGGAAAAGACAGCAAGCTTTCAGAACAGGCACCCAGGAGTTTCCAAATAGCCTGGCTTTTTCCAACCATCCCATGATACAAGGGGGTATGGATTCTTTGAGACATAGTGTTCCCTGGAAGAGAATGGGGTAGCAGTGGAGGGCTTCAGATATGCATCCATCTACAGTTTTGCGCCAGCCAGCCTGAATTACCAACCTCTGAGTGAATTTATGCATTGCAATTTCCATCATTAGCAAGGGATGAGACTTTTATCTATAAATATTTTCTTTTAGCACACAGATACAAATATGCATTATGAAAACTCCAGATTAGCAATCTTTTGCCTAAGTGTGGCATATTAGCATCATCTCCGAGGATGTCTAGGAGAAAGTTACTCATGACTAAGGATGGAAAAGCCACTGTTCCTTCACTTTTCAGAAACATTTCCATGGTTTGATGCTCTGCTTTTCACATTTAAATCCTGTTCTCTGGGGTTAGGGAAAAAAAAGTGCTGTATCTACTCAGTGGCATTGTTACTTATTTGGGGACTAGCCAGGTGAGGGTTCCTTTCCTACTCTGAAGAGTGCAAACTTGCAGGAATATCATTTTATTCTGTAACCTGGTAAGCCACCTTAAATAAAAGTCTAATTGATATGCCTCCCTCGCCAGCTGCAGTTACTCACCTTAAGCTGCAAAGTTGGTGTGCCCCCGATTTCAGCACAGAAGAGGCACAGGCTTTTGCTCTCGATTCCCAGGAAAACTAGATTACCTTTTTCATTGTCTTGGAATTCTGTGTCTCTACATGCTATCAAGCTAAGGATGACTAGAAACACAAGGAAAATGGGGAAGAAGTCAGGCTCACTGATAGGAATTCTAGCCATGCCCCCATGTTCACGCATGTCCTGACAAGAGACACTTAGTCATTTCCACCTAGTCATTTCAGGGTCATATGTCCTATGTAATCTATGTGCTGCATGGTCACATAAATTGCATGCAGCGTGACCACATGCTCTATGCACATGCATGGAGTAGCCACATGGGCCCATGTGCGCATGTGCAGGGTAGTCCTTAAAAGGCAGATCCCATGTACCCTCCCTCTCCTCTTTACATGTCTTTCCAGCAGGCCTGATCACACCCTGTCCTTTTCTCCTTTTCTTAATGAAACTCTTGTTAGTGGGTTTTTACTGTGTTCTGTGACTTTTCCTTGCAGGGTAAGAATGCTGCTAAAACCAACACTCCCCCCGCAAAAAAAAAAAAAAAAAACTTAGTCCTTTGATCCATACCCTGTTAACCCTCCAAATCATCATCATCATCTTTATCATCATCATCTTCTCCATCAAAGCTCCCCACATTAGCCACATAATGATGATTACTAGTTGCTCTTTTGAGACCAATTTCCTTTTTCTTCTTGACACCAGAACCTCAGTTGTCACCTGGGCACATTGTTCTCAAAAATAAAAATAAGATATTTTACTATCGTTGCATCTAAATAAAGTCATGTACTTAATGTGGCCCCTGATATATGAGTGGAAGTATCCTGTAGGGTTTCTAAAATGGTTCCTTCAGAGATTAGACTCACCTGGAAATACTTCACGTGTCACATCTTGTCACCTACATCAAGTGATAGTTTAGGTAAACTTAAGATTGGTGAAGCAGAAAGATAGAATACTTGGCCTCTGGTGGCATCATGGAACCAACATGGAACCCAGCCTGGCCTGACCCACTAGTTTCATATATGGAAGAAATAAACCACTATCTTACTTAAGTTCCTATTGTGTGAGTTTTCTATCAGTCTTGGTTGAATTTAATTATCTAATAATTTAGGAAGAGATTCCCAAGAATTTGGGCATTCTGTATCTATTTCTTGGTAGAGGACAGGAAACAAATCCATTCAAAATTTACTTACTAACTATCCACCTAGGACAAAGTACTATGTGGACATTGGAGACTTGGCTTAGGGCAAGATATGAAATACTCAACTCAAAGACTCATATAATGAAGGCTTGCACATGACCTGGTGACACTATTGAGACATGATCAGATCATGAGAGTTCTAACTCCATCAATGTATTAATCCATTAATAAGTTCACCGTTGAATGAGTTATTAGATGCAGGACATAATTGGTCTCTGGTGATGTTTCTTTAAAGCAACAAGGTTGGAAACTCCCCACAACTTCCTGTCCAAAACATGAGGAGAGTAGCTCTTTTCCACCATACCATGTGTCTGTCTTGGCACAGGCCTAAAAGGCAGTGAAGCCAGCAGAAGACTCTGAAAACTCTGAATTTATTAGCCCAAATCAACATTTAAGTATTTTTTAAACTATTTTTGTTGATGGTGAGGATAGGCTGTCATATTAATGAAAAACCAACTATCATAAGTGATAGAAGGAATAGAAAGTGGGAATAAAGAGGAAGTTTTAGTATTGAGACTGGGGATATGAAATGAGGGGCCTCTCTGTGATGGGCAAGGTTAAGAGGGGAATTTAATAAAACATGGAAGTTTTAAAGATGTGAGACAAGGCTAAGATGGATTTCCTTTTGATGGGAAGAAGGAATGTTTCACCATTATTAGAAGCATAGATGCCAAAAGAGAAGAGCATGTAACTTTGACAGTGGAAAGATGAGAGAGTTTGAATCTATGGATGTGGGTAGATGCCAGCTGGAATGTAAAGGAACACCATTCTAAAAAGAAACAGGGATTGTGAACACAAATCTTTCCTATTTGAAGACACTTTAGTGCGGGGAGTTGTCGGCCCTTGCACTGTCATTTCTATGTCTGCTTTCCTCTGTAGCAGGGGGACCATCCTTTTCTCCTTGCCTTGCCTTTCCTCTGAACATCAGATTGGTGACCAGGTAAGAAACAGCAGAAGGCTTGTGCAGGCTCATGTCCACTCGCAGTGGACCTGATGGTTTTCAGGAGTAACAGTACCCTTGCATGTCACTTACCAGGCTTGACATTGTTGCTAGCAGGCACTGCTATTAAGGAATTTCCTGTCAGGACCCACACCATATGCTGGGAGTCACGGATCTTGTAGGTTCTGGGATATAGTTGACCTGTCAGATAACAGAAAAGCACAAGACACAGGTGTGGGTATAATTAGCTTTAAGGTTTGGGCTCCATCCTAATAACAATGAATTATGAATTTCTGTCATAGATATTGTTTTGAGAAGAAATGGCCATAAAAACAAAGGAAGGGAAACAGGGCAGGGCTGGTGTATGGATCAAGGCACAGAAAAGAACTGAAGACATTCCTGGTTGCAAGAGATGTTCTACCCTTGCCAGTTCTTCTGGAGTTATTTTTTCCTGATTTACAAAGTCTCTGCATAGCAACAACAACCAAAACTGCTTAAACAAGTCATCAGTATGTGTGTAATCTCCCTTCTTTATCGTTTTAATCAAAATGAACATGCAATTCTATTTTTTTTTACATAATCCTTTATTGATTCTTTGGAAATTTCACATCATGCACCCCAATCCTGCTCTCCTCCCAGTCCCTCCATATCTGCCCCTCACCCCTGCAACATGCCCCTTCAAACTTAATTCAAAACAAACAAAAAACTCACTTCGCTCCTCCATCTTTCCGACACCTTCTTCATCCTAGTGGCATTGGGAACTGCAGTGTGTCACACAGTAGACCCTTTTGTCCAATCAGCCCCACCAACAAAACGTTCATTGCAATGAGTCTGGTTCAAGGTCTCTGGCCTCTGGCACATTATCATCACTGGGCCCTCACTGAAACTCCTCTCGGATATCCTGTTGTTGCCCCGAGTCATGGAGATCCTGCGGTTATCATTCCACAGGACCAGTCCCACACGGATGCCCAGGGTCTAGGCCACATCCTGTGGCCATGTTGGTGTCCTAGGGCCGTGCTGCCGCTGGGGCCATGGTGTGGTCTGTGCCAGAGCTGCTTCAGAGGGCCATGACTAGGTCTGTGTGGCCCTACAGCAGCCAGGGTCTATGTTGATGTCTGTGCCTCCTGATACCATCAAAGCCAATGCTAGCGGTCTAGGCCACAGCCTGTGGCCTTATTGGTGTCTGAGGACCTCACTGCAACAGAGGCCATGCCAATCTGACATATGCTGCCACCTGGGGCTATGGTGACATCCAAGCCCAGGCTGCTACCAAGGGCCATGTCTGGGTCTGTGGTCCTACCACAGTCGGGGTCTGTGTTGATGTCTGTGGCCCATGTAACCATCAAAGGCCACACAGATACCCAAGGTCTGGGCCGATCCTGTGGCCATGTTGGTGTCTGAGAGCTGATCTGGGTGGTCTATACAGCCACACAGGGCCATAGTGTCATCCAGACCCAGGCTACTTCAGTGGGTCATGTCTGTATCAGTGGCCCAACAGCAGCCAGGGGCTGGGCTGATTGTCCATTGCTCGTGTTACCACAGAGGGTCATAGGAACTATGTGTGTTGAAATCTGAGGGCTGTGCTAAGCCAGCTCTGCCCCTCACTGGTCCTGGGATAGCTGGCCCTGCCACTTTCTGGACACTGCAGCAGGAAAGCTGATCCCACCCACCATGGGAGAGGGGACATCATCCCCTCTTCACCCTACCTCCTTACCACAGGCATGGGAGAGTAGGCCCCAATGGCATGGGCTTAGGAAAGCTAGCTCTGCCCCATTGCCTGAAGGGGTGGGGTCCAAGTGGCCAGGACCAACTAGCTCAGCTACTACCCAGAGCCACATCCTGGGCCTTGAGTTGGCCCACCTTAACATCTGTCCCATCTATGGCTTGCTGTAATGCGTGAAGGAACAAGCAAGTCTATGTATAACTAATAAGAAAAGAACTAAGTGCCTTGAGATTTCAATACGTAGGTTTCTGGGTATTTCAGCCAGAACAAAGAGATTTGTAGTTAAGAAAGTGAAACAGGCCAGGCAGTGGTGATGCACGCCTTATTTAATCCCAGCACTCGGAAGGCAGAGGCAGGAGGATCTCGGTGAGTTCCAGGCCAGCCTGGTCTACAGAGTGAGTTCCAGGACAGCCAGGGCTCCACAGAGAAACCCCGTCTCAGGGAGTGGGGAGGGAGGAAGAAAGTGAAACAGGCCCCTTCAACCCTATTGTCTTTGGCGAGAGTAAATGGAGATTGATCCAAACTGGTTTGTGATTCACACTTACTTTCTTTGTGCATCTCACCCGATTCAGAGCTTTCATTAGGAGGATAAAGTTCACTAAAGGATGGACAGGAAGCCATCGTTGCCTGGCCCTGAGAAAGAAAGAGAAAAGAAAAAATATTCTTCTCTTATAGGCTCCTAGAATTGTATGAAAATTCTTTAGTAAGAGCTTCCCTAAGCCCTCACCCCATATTCACATTAAAATGTTTTAATGACCTATCTATTGTATTTATGTATATGAGTGTTTTGCTTGCCTGGATGTATGTGCACCAAGTCTGTGCCAGGTGCCTGGAGGTCAGAAGAGGAAGTGCAATCATCTGGAACCAGAATTATAGACAGTTGTGAGCTGCCCAGTGTGGGTGAACCCTGGTCCTCTGCAAGAGCAGCACGTGCTCCTAAGCACTGAGCCATCTTTCTAGTCCCCGGATTAATGTTTTAAAGTGTACCTAGACAAAACAAATTTCAAGGCCAGCAAGCCCTGAACAGATGCTCCCATCCCTTTAGTGACTGGTGTGGTCCTAGGTCTCCAGGCTGTGATGGCTTTGAAATGCCATCCACTGCCACATCTGGATGGTGAGGAAGTTCCATCACCCCAGGTGCCTTTTGTGCACCAGGCTTAGAGGAAAGCAGGGTGTGCCCGTCTGTCCGTCTGTGTTCTAGCTCTCCCCACAGCTAGTGAATGACTACACTTCCTGCTTGTAAGCTGAGAATTCCTGAGCATCTTTCAGCAAATGTGCCTCTGACTTGTGTATTCCTTTACACTTCATCCAGAGAGACGCCACCAAGGATTCTACAAGTGGGCCAGGCAGGACCCAGAGATAACCCCAGCTACAGTTAATATTCTGGTCCCGCCCCTTGGCACCACCCTATGCCCCGATGTATCTTAAGGGAAAATTCCACCCATTTCCCTTTCTCCCCTTCCGCTTGCCTCCCATGAGGTATATGCACCTTCGAACACCCCTCTCTCTCCCCCCTCCTCTCCTCTCTTCTCCTCTCCCTCTCTCTCTTCCTCTCCCCCCCTCTCTCTTTCTCTCCCCCCACCCCCACTAAATACCTCTTCATTGAGCACTGTCTGCAATGGTGTTTCTGTACTGGGCATCTTGGCTCTTTACCCACCAGAGCCTTCTTTATACAATCATAACATCCATGGCAAGGTCTCCAGACGCACCCAGGGCTAGGCAAAAAGCAGGGAAAGGTTTCCCTCAGAAGGCTCAAATAGCAAAAATTTACCTTTGTCCAAAGAGGTTCTTGTCTCTGGAATCAAAGCTTTGGCTGTAGCTGTACCTGCAGGCACTGAGAACCAGTCTGGGACTCCAGGACTTTAAGTTAGCAAGACCACAGCCCTGTCTCCTGACCCTGGGTGTGCCCGCTTTAGCAAGAAGCCTACACTGGCAAGGAGGGCCTGTGGGACCTTGGAGGGGAGGCAGGGAGGCAGTACAGGTGGAACTGGTCTGGGCTCCTGGAGAAACAAAAGCAGAGCACACACCAGAGAACAACAGTGAGGAAATGCACAGGCTAGAAGCTGAGTCAGGGTAGAGAACATGGGCTCTGGACTGCCTTGAAGCAGAGGTGTGGCTGTCTTGACTCAGTGAACAGCATGACACCAGAGCGCTATTTACAAGGCAAATGTAAATATGTAAATATGGCAAATCTCAGTCCTGATCTCAGGAGTTTTACATATTTAGTATGCCACAGCTCCTGAGAGCTTGCTGTCTCTGGTAAAGTTGTAAGGGCTCTCCTTTCCCAAGTAATCTTTTAACCCTCACAATAGTCCCTTACAGGCCCTTGGTCTTTCTCACAGAAGAAACCAAGCCCTGAGAGGTGACAAAAAAAAAAAAAAAGCCACATAAGTGCCAGTCCCACTGTCCAGCCAATGTGAAGGCAAGTGTTTCCTCCTGGGTAACTGTGTGATGTGTTCACTGAGGGGCTTGATCTTCTGTGTACTGTGTTAGAAACACCAAGGAAGCCCTGGGCTTCACTTCGGGTCCAAGGGAGCAGATGAAGATGCTATGAAAGAGTTTCGGGCTTGTGAGTTCCTAACTCTGCAGCACAAGTCAGATGCAGCCTGGACATTGACGACAGAAGGAAACTTTCAGTCCTGGAATAATATTGTGGATCAGTGCTAAACACTAAAAGAACCCCACTCATTCTGTTCCAAAATTTGCCCTCAGGGAACTTCCAAATGTGGGTTATGGTTGTATTCTCTGAGATCTATCATTAAGTTTTCTTTTTGGAATCTCTCCATAGTCCCTAACTATCTGGCCCTAGGTGTACCCACTTAACCAAGAAACCTGGGCTGGCACAGGGGACCTGTGAAGACCTTAAGGGGAGGCAGGGAAGCAATACAGGTGTGACTGGTCTGGGCTCCTGGAGAAGGAAGCAGAGCACACACCAGGAAAGCGCTTTTCCCTGGATTTAAATGGCCACCCAGCCAGCACCAGGATAAGGTAGAAACATGGTCACATTGCTTCTATGCTCAAAACTCACTAACAGTGTTACTTCATCGTAGGATACTCAGAGCTCTTCCCATGGCCACCCCAGCCCACAGAACTTGTCCCTGCTCTCTTTCCTTGATGCTTCAGCTCCGACGCTAGGATTTCCCTGGCTTTAGTTCACACTGGACTGATGCTAATTCTCCCAGATCGTTCCTGGGTGTTCGCATTTAGCTCTTGTTTTTTCTTGAAAACAACCTCACCATTACAAAGTTTTTAAAATAACAGGTCATTGTTTTCTGTCTAGGATGATAGAGACTATTCTGTTTATTTCTTGCCATATGTTTCCCAGAGGTGCTGGATATTTTTGTATCACTATGGTTATTTGGAGGGTACAATTTATTCTGGCTTGCAACTAAGGTATTTGGAAAGAACTTGCTGTTAAGATTTGATCGGTTGACCTGTGAGCATTTGGTTTAGGCCTGTTTTTTATTTCTTAAATAAGTCCTTCTAAATAATGCACCCCATGAGTTTTCCAGGCGTTATGCTTTCTAAGCTTTTGGAATACTTTTATCTCCTTAGGGACAAGAGAGATTGGAACCACACCATTATACAAAATCCTTATAAGACATTTTTAAATGACTTGAAATAATTCAAACTTAGCCTCATTAATTAAGGACACATGAGACCAAGGGTAACCAATAAAAAAGGTAAGAATATAAATAATGAGTGAATTGGTAAATTGAATCATAAAACAATGTTTATACAAGAGAAGGCAGAAGATAGTAAGAATGGAATAAACAGAAAATAGCAAGATGGTAGATATTAATCCAGCCACATCAATATGCAAACTAAATATAGATGCTGTAAACACTAATTCAAAGACTGAGTTTTTCAGATGGCATAAAATGCAAGATGTAGTGGGGTGGTGGTGGTGCAGGCCTTTAATCACAGCACTCGGGAGGCAGAGGCAGGGGGATCTCTGAGTTGAAGGCCAGCCTGGTCTACAGAGCAAGTTCCAGGTCAGCCAGGGCTACACAGAGAAACCCTGTCTCAACAAGAAAACAAAACAACAAAAAAATTCAAGATCTAGTTAAGCATGGTGGCTTGTGCCCATTATACCAGCATTTGGAAGGTTGAGGCAGGTTTGAAGCTAGCCTGGGAGGATAGACAGTAAGGTCCAGGCCAGACTAGGCCAGAAGACCCTATCTTTTAAAAAAAAATGCATATCTGCAGGAAACCTAATTAAAAAATCTAAAATATAAAGACATAGGAGAAAGTGAATATCACGAAAACGCTAAACAAAAGGAAGTTGTGCTGGCTCTATGGATGCTAGAGAAAACAGATGAACAGGGAATGAAGAGGAACAGTCCATGGTGCTAAATGTGTCAGATCTCCCAGGCACAGAACAATTTGGAATGTTGTATTTGCCTAATAATACAGCTGCAAATTATATGATTCAAAAACCAGTGGGGCTAAAAGAACCAATAGACGTCCCTCCCACTTCTGTGGTGAACGGAGCCCTCCTTTCTCCATGTTAATAATACAAGCAGACGGGTAGTAAGGGATGCTGATGAGAAAAGATACAGAGCTGAGCAATGCTTTGTGCTGACTGCACCAAAGTGGTATTTAGACCACATTTCACCTGACGACAGGAAGAAGCATCCCAGACCTGGGGGCGGGGAGTGAGGGCAACACAGAGGGGGAGGGGAGGAGGAGGAGGGATAAAGAACAGTGAGGATATTTGAAAAATCCAGAGGGAATCATATTGGTTTATTTACACTATGTAGGTGTGTGTGTGTGTGTGTGTGTGTGTGTGTGTGTGTGTGTGTGTATGTGTGTGCACATGATGTAATTGAGGTTATACTTAGGGTGACAGTACTCCCCCTAAAACTATAGACTATCTAACAAAAACCCCAATGCCAAGTATGGGAAGCCTTCTTTCAAGTTGTTGGTCAGAAGAATCTAAGAAACTCCCAAAACATAGGCTATTGCCATGGCTTGGTGCCTTCCAGAGAAAGAAGGAAAGATGCCATTGCTGAAGATACCACACACTTCAGCCACAGGACTTGGAGGAATCTACCTAGACCTGGCCTGGAAGCTTCCTCCCTTAGAACTGGCTCTCGGTTTTGGAAGGAGTCATGTAAGCTGCTAAGGGAGAAAAGAAACCAGAGTCCTTTCTGGCTGCAATGCCTATGCACCACAATGACCAGCATGGCAAGATATTCCAACAAGTGCAATAGTAGTGCAAAAAATCCTGGGAGTAACCAGCAGCCACCAAATTGGACTTAAGATCTGCTCAATAAAAAGGAATTCGTGCCTGATACTGTAAATTTAGCCAACTACCTGTGATTGGTTGATGCTATTGACCCTATAGTCCCTAACTGCATTCTAAATATCTATCCTTATATCCACAGATAAGTGCCTTACCCCTCACCAAAGAAGACCATCACAGAAAGCCATAACGTCAAAAAGCAGAGAACAACTGACTGTGGGTACCAGTCCTCAATTAACAAATTTACAACACTTGGGGCTCAGGGGGCATCACAGAAGAGAGAGGCAGAAAGAGTGTAATGACCAGGACATCTGCTGCAAGACAGTCTCTCTAAAAGACCTGAGGGGCTGAGGAGAAGGGTGGATCTGGGAGTAATTCGGGGGGAGTGGGCATTGAATATGAGCAAGACATGTTGTACTAAATTCTCAAAATTAATTAAAATATATTACTAAAATAAAAATTTTAAGCCAGGTGGTGGTGGTGTATGCCTTTAATCCCAGCACTGGAGAGGCAGAGAAAGCAGATCTCTGAGTTAGGGGCCAGCCTGATTTACAGAGCTAGTTCCAGGACAGCCAGGGCTACACAAAGAATCCCTGTCTCGATAGATAGATCGATAGATAGATAGATAGATAGATAGATAGATAGATAGATAGATAGATAGATGGATGGAGAGAGAGATAAACAAACAAACTTTTTAAATCTGGGTATATTTTAGAAAGAATAAGGGGCAGAGACTGAAAATCCAAGTCTTCACGTTTGTGGCAGGATTCTTTACAACAGCGGCTAACTGACAGAAGAATGACGCGGATTTGGTGTACACATTGAGATACCTCCAGACTCACGAAGGAATGACAGTGTGCTATTATCTGCAACAAGAAAGAACCTTGAGAACACGACATTAAGGAAACAAGCCCATTCCAAAGGACAAACCGAGAGTCTACTTGCCTGAAGTACCCAGATAGCCAAATTCAGAGAGGAGAAGTAGAGTGATGATGACTGTCGGGAGCTGAGGGTGAGGAAGAGGAGTGTGGATGTTTATTGAATGAGTGTCAGCTTTGTGAGAAAAAAATTCTGGACTCAGATAATGGTGATGGTTGCAGGACAATGTGGATGAAAATGTAATACCTTTGTACATAGAAGATGGTTAAAATAGCAACTCCGGTGTTGTGTGTGTTTTATTACAACTTAAAACTAACTTTGATGAGTTATATATGGCAATGCTGAGCATGTTTCTGACAGTGGGACCTGGAAACATGTGATACTGTGGTTCTCCAGAGGAACAGAATACATAGAATGTATATCATTAGAAAAAGTATTATTATTTTGAAATGCATGAAGAAGTCAAATGTTCAGACATCTACATAAATTACCAAAGAGCAAGTGAGCAAGTGAGTGAGCAAGAGATGGAGAACATTAGTAATAGTGTAACCTTACCAGCCTAGATGACTACCAACAGATGAGTAGATAATGAAAACGTGAAACATATTCACAGTGGAATTTTATTAAGCTGTAAAGAAAAATGGTATTTGTAGGGAAATGAAAGGATTCAGGATGTACAATATTAAGTGAGATGATCCAAACTCAAAAAGACAAAAAATGCATATTCTCTCTCATATATGGACCCTTACTGGTAATATACATATATACATATATACATACATACATACATACATACATACATACATACGATAATCTTATATATGGTTATGGGGTAAAAATGAGTACTGAGGAAGGATTGAGGGAGGGCAAAAAGACATGTGATATGAAAGAAGGAAAGAAACTTTGGAGGAGATTATAAAAAGGAACATGGGTTGGGGTAAGCAGACAAGGGAGAAAAATATTAAAATACTTTGTTCAAAAATGCCATAATAATGTCTAATACCTTGCATGATAGTTAAAATTTGTTTTATTAAAAAGTAGTTTGTCATGGGGAGTTCATAGGAAGTGATGCTCCCATACTCCTCCCTTAGGGCCAGGCCTCGCTGATGAAGTCAAGGGGAGACGAAGCGCCCTCAGGCATACTCCCATGATCCCAGGCTGAGTCTTTGTGTCTGTGGGTGTTCCCTGCCTGGGTGAGCTGTTCAGATCTTTTGCAGAAAGAAATGGAAAATTAGGTACGTGAAGAATCATCATGTGGCTGTTGGGATGTGCACTAAGCCCAGCCTATCTAGTTTATACCGGATGACAGCGCCCTCTCCTGTCCAGTGTGAGACTGGCAGCTCAACGTGCTTCCCTGGTCGGCCAGCAGAGCCAGCCCAGACCAGAGTGAATGAAGCCAGACTCATGGTTTTCCTGACCCAGCAGCTTTTGTCTTTCACTTAAGGCTTATTTCAATTTAATATTAGGTTCCTCCCCAAAATGGACCAACCTTACAATCCATGGAAGGGTCCTCGAGGTCTGGAGACTGCTGAGATACTTATTACAAGAAGTGCCTGGACCTCCTTACGGTCTGACCTGGATCTCCAGTGGGGACCTTAGGGTGGCCCTTTCCCTCAGTGACTCAATCAGGAGAAACTGCCCGTGGGTGTTGCAGACACCGGAGCCTCACCCACCCTGTGGGTTGTCCGCACGTTCTGCCCAATCCTAGCCGGTAGAACTGGCTGTTCCCCTCACCACTTCCCTCCACCCACATCCCCTACGTGGTCACGATCGTTAACAGCCGAAGTGCTGTGACACCACCCACCAGCTTCCCTATTTTTCATGGTCACCCTATCTTTCTCAAGTCTGTTCTCTAAAGCTGTTCCCTCACCCCCATCCCCAGTGCCCCACAGGATGATTTTATGGACAGCTCAATGGAAGAGGGAGTCGGGGTGATAAGACATCCTCTTCTGCTCACATCTCCATGCTCTGTGCCTCAGCAACATCTCTGCTGTGCCTTTACTCATCAAAGCTGCCCCAATGAGGAGTCTCCCTACCCACAAGATAGCATGCTGCTGTGCTGGGTAGAGCCTTCTTTCTCTAAACCAGCTGAGTTGTTTTGCTATTGTTTCTGAAAGCCCATTGTTTTCAAATAGTCCATTGGTCCTTAGGGCGGTCATATTCCAGCCAGTGATGTGCCTTGGTTCCTAGTTCTGCCCTTTATCCATCTCCATTCTGTTTATAATCTACAAGTTTTTCTATGTTAAGGAATATAGGCTAGATGGTATGGAACGGAACTGCCACAGCAGCAGGTCTTACATCCTACTAAATTGACGGCCTTAGGTGAGTTCTTTCAACTAAATGGGAATAAAAATAGCTCTTGCCGTCTATGACTGATGTGACTAGGAGATAAGACTCTTGTCTGGCTGTCCTTTAACACGGTGCCTAGCACAGTAAATACGTAGCAAAGGTTAACCCTTCTTGTCAGAGCTTTGAAGACCCACTGGCAAATCCTGTGGTCACTAAACAGAGCGAGTTGGGTGGAGAAATTGCCCAGGCACATGTAAGGTGGCATTTAGTCTCAAAACCTGCCTCAGATGTAGGTCAAAGTAATCTAGGCCTCTGCTATGTTCTCTTTAATACTTGGGGTGAGTGCAGAAGAGGTGGGGGAAACCTAAGGGACAAGAAGTTTGTGACCAGGATCTGTACTACCTGCTGATCCAGTTCTTCACAGGCTCTGCCTCGTTCAGTCCTCTCAAGATCTCAGTGAAGAGGAAATTACCATCCTCTTCAAACAAAAACATGCTGTACCAGAGAAATGAAACAAATCTCCCAAGACTATGGTGGAAATAGCGAAGGTTTATACTGGTGGTGAGGATGTTGGCGGTGATGACAAGGTTGGAGGTGATGCTGTTGCTCTTGGCAATAATGGTCCAGCTGTCGTTCAAGTTCCTGCTATGTGTCAGGCACTAAGCACATGTATTGACTCACTCAACAATAAAATTGTTGTCATTTTTATTTAATTCTTACTTTATATATAAAAATTCTAAAATGTATAAAGACTGAGTAACTTGGCCAATATTCTAGGAAGTGAGAGATTTAGACCCAAACTGAGGTAACCTATAAATGGCCATGCATTTTTTTTTTTTTTTTTTTTTTGCAGATCACATAGTTCAGTCACAAATATTTACATCTGTCTTCATAGGCAATATTTCAGCAAATAAACTTCACTGTATCACAGTAAAACTTTATTCATAAGGCAAGAGGTGGGCTGACCTTGGCCCAAAAGCCAAAGTTTTCTAATCCATGCTCTTTTAAATTTGGTGGTGTGGGGCGGGGGACTTGGTGGTATAAGTCCTCAATCCCAGCACTTGGGAGGCAGAGGCAGTCAGATCTCTGTGAGTTTGAGGCCAGCCTAGTCCAAGTGAACTTTTGGCGAGCTAGAGCTACACAACAAAACTCTGTCTCAAACAAACGAAAGGGATGTTTTTTTTTTTAATTTGTGTTCCTGAATGTAGGTATGTACATCATGTGAGTGCTGTGCCCATGGATTCCAGAAGTCAGCACTGGGTTCCAAGGAACTGGAATTACAGATGGTTATGAGCTGCCCTATAGTGCTAGAAACTGAACCCTGGTCCTCTGCATGAGCAGCAAGTGCTCCTAACCACCAAGACATCCCTCGAGTCCCCCAAGCCATGTTCTTAACTACCAAATGAAGAAAATGCATACCTATCAGCACTGAATCTCTCAGGGAAGTAAAATAACAATGATGAAATAATAGACAACTCTAGCCTTTGTAATGTGAGAAAGTACACAGTTCATCCTGGTAGAATATCTGTTTATAGAAACACATTCTAAACTAGGACCATCCAAAGGGCTTGGGTTTCATCCATCCACAGAATTGACAGGCAAACCTCTCCTAATGTGAGTTTAGCATCCAGCAGTATTAGGCAGGGGAATCTGATACTCACCATCGCATTTGATGGATTATACAATATGCTAAATGGTGGTGAGTACCATGGGGAAAAATGAAGAATGATGGGAGCGTGGGAGCGCAAAACAGAGGCATACAGTGGTGACAGCAGATGGAGAAGGCGGCATTGAATCAGAGATCTCGAAGAGGCGGGCTAGGGAAGGCACATACTAATGCGTTGGTGCAGAGTTAGCTGGGCAGGGAGATAAGTGGGTGCAAAGGTCTTGGGTGGAGCATCCCTGGCTAGTTCAACAAATAGAAAAAGGTCCATGCTGGTGGCTCTTACTCTCCTTGGTGAGGAAAGGAGGGGCTAATGTTTTACGGGAGCCTTGCTTTGTAGGGTCTTATAATCAGAGTGAGGATTTAGCTTGTGTTCACAGTGCTATGGGGACCAGAAAAATACTAAGGTTTGACTCAGGTAGTAAAAGGACTACTCTGACCCGGCTTGGGGTCAACGGCTTCAGGTTCAGATTTCTTAGTCTCACTTTTTGCTTTATTACATATCAGTAAATGTAATGAATCCTTCTGTGTCTGATTCTACACTCATAAAACAGATAAAGTATTAGTCACACAAGTATGAGGATATGAAATGAAAAACGTCAGGCAAACCATTAGCCTAACTCCAGGGAACCCTGGACTGTTTGTGCTCACATGCTCAGAAAGTGAATGCACTTCGTTACTACTTTATGTCTATCCCTTCAAAGGTACTGCCATTCTCACGAAGGTGGTAATGAGTCACCTGGGAAACATTGCCTCATTTCCAAATCTGACATGATGTAGGACATATGAAGACCATAAATAATTGAGATGTTTGCTGAGAAGGGGAGAACCCCACTGACTGTTGTGGATAATGAAAAAACCAACAGTGATACAACTTCCAGTCATCGTGACAAGGTGTACCAGTTAGTATTTATGTTTAACAAATGAGCCCCAAATCTAAAGGAAGAAACGCGTGACTCTGGAATCAGACGGCTCCTTCACCAGGCTCTCACAAGGTATCAGCTGGGGCTGCAGGCACTGAAAACTGTGGTGAAGGATCTGCCTCCAAGCCTCGTCCTCACAGAGTGATGGCGAGGGACCTCTGTTCTGCACTGTGTGGTGCTCTGACCTGCAACACTTGGGGACTGACCTGACAAGGCAACAGGGAATGGAGAAACAAAAGACATGTATACTGGAAAGCTGGCATAGAGTGCATGGACTCTGATGGAGATGAGCCAGCAGGTGGGAAATTTAGAACATTTATTATATACAGCTGAACAAGGAGGCAGGTGTACAGTAGACAGCCGAGGGAGGAGGGCTAGTTAGCTAGTCTTGGCAGGGGTCTCCGTAGAGGAGCAATCTCAGGCTGCAGTCTTCTGAGACGAGGAAGCTATGCTTGATACTTCCTGGACATAGCGGGTTTTAGCTAAAAGCCAACTGTCCACCAACCTCCAGACCAGGGAAAGGCCTTGCCAGTCCCGTGAATCTGAGACTTTGGGTCCTTGACATGGCTGTATTTATGTCAACAATACACCTTCACTCAGGACATCATCTCTCCACAGTGTGAGGCCACTTGAGTGTCTTTGTCATGTGGCAGCTGACTTGCCCCAGGTGAATAATCCAGGAACAAGCTAGGAGGAAGCTGCAGTGCCTCTTAGGCCCTGGATTCAGAAGTGACACACTGTCATTTCCCACCGTAGACCATATTTACTGAAGTCGCTGGGTTTAGCCTACTCTCAAGAGAAAGCAAATGAAGCATCATCTCTTGTAGGATTATTTTCTTTGTTAATTTTAGCTGGCATATAAAATAATAGATTTCCATACGACGTGTTCGTGCATGTGTGCTGTTCTACTTTTCTCATGCCCACTTTCTTATGTTACCCTCCCCCTGTAAGAAGCGCTCTCTGAAATTTCCAAGAGTCCGTAGACATATTTTCTTTTGTTGCCTTGATTTATATGGAAAAGAGGATTATTTAACTCACTGACAAAGCCTGGAAAGTCAAGATCAGCACTTGCATCTGGTGAAGCCCCCCTTGCTGGTGAAGATTCTTCAGAAACCCAAGAAGGGTTCCTGCCCAGGGAGAGAGGTCTACACACAAGATAGGGCCAAGCTGGCTTGTATACCAGATCCATACCCTAGATAATCCAGCAACTTATGAACCTGTAATTCTTAACTAGATTAACTCATTCCTCTGCCTTCAGGACTCAATAACTTCTCAAAGGTCCCAACTATCCCCATTTCTTAATACTCACAATGAGGATTAAATTTCAGCAGGAGTTTTCTCTCCATGTGCATTCATTCATTATGTAAAGTGATGTGTTTCGTCATGGCATTTCCATACATGCGTATAATATGCTTTGATCATAATTCTTCTTTCCATAGCCCTTTATGATCTCTTCTCCCTCTTTTCTGCTTCCATATCTCTAACAACCCCTCTTTTACCTTCTTGTTCTTTTCACCTAGCTAGATTTCACAAATGAGCAAAACCATGCATAATTTGTCTTTATAAGATTGGCTTATTCCATTTAACATGATGAGCCCTAGTTTCATTTTTTTCCCTGAAGTAACACAATCTTATTATTGTTTATGGCATAATAAGACTCCATAGTATGTGTACACATTTTCTTCACCCATTCATTCACTGATGAGTACCTAGGCTGATTCTATAGCTTGGATATTGTGAATGGTGTAGAGATCAACACCAGCATGTGTTTCAATGGAGATGCTGAACCATAGGCATACACTGGGACCTAATCCATAGTAATTAACAACTCAAACCAAGGGATGTGTTCTAGAGAGAGCTAATTGTTAGTGAAGTCTGTTTCATGTTGTGCCAGGAGATCCAAACCTCTTACTGACATCACTTTCTTTTTACATCAGCACATTTCACCGCAGCAACACTGGCAGAGACATCCCCACTTGCACACCCAGCAAGCTTGCCACATCCCTGCAGGCCAGCCACACATAGGCATCATTCTGTCTCAGTCAGAAAGTAGAGACAGCTGTATTAGGGCCTCATGACACTGTTCACTGGACACTTGGGCACAGTTCACCGAAGCAAGGAGTCAGGGAAGGTGGCCTAGGCAGATGGTATTCTGGCTTTTTAAATTTTTTAACTGTGTATATTTTTGAGAATTTCATACATGAGTACTGGATTTACATCATGTCTACTCCTCCTGCTCCTCCTTGTGACTGCTCCTATATACCTTCTCTTCTCTCTCAAATTGAAGACTGCTTCTTCTATAATTATTATTGTGACACGCACGCGTGCGCGCATACACACACACGTATATGTAAGACACTTAGTTCATCTGGTGTTACTTGTGTGTACATGCATTTAGAGCTGAGCATTTGGGACTGAATAACCTATTAGGGAGCTCATCCCTAGAAAACCTAAATTCTCCATCTCTCAGCAGGCATGACTGCCTATAGTTCTTCATCTAGGAAATAGGGCCTTGTGAATTTCCTCATCCACAATGACAGGTCAGCTGGTGTAGTCATTAAGCAGGTCTTATTTAGGCAACCACATCATAGAGATTTCTCAGGTGCAGTATCCCTGTCATGTCTAGAAGACACTATCTGGCAACAGATGTCCTGGCTCTCTAGCTTTTTCAGGTAAAACAATGTTGTGTTCTCTGACAGATAAGAACAATCTTGCTTAAAGCTCTACTTTGCCAATAGGCTGCTTCTTCCTGGAATTCTGTTTTGTTTTTAGATATTATAGTGTAGTTCCTACTTAGTCAACTAATAGTTCATCTGACAATTTTGCATAAGAGAGCTTCTACATTAAATTTACTTTCCTGAGAGATGTTTGGCAGAATAATAAATGATATTTCTCAGTAGTACCCAAAACATTTAACATTTTTTGTTATGCAGTGATCTTTAGCTCTAATTCTGTCACAATTTGTGGAGGTATTAAAAACATGTTCATTATTTTATAACTACATATTGTTTTACTAACCAAGTATTTAAGACAGACAAAGCATAGGATCATAGAGGTTTATCATAACATAGTATTCAATAGCAAAACCAAGTAAGCAAACAAACCCAATTGTAGGAGGGACCAATGATAAGCAGATGAATGTACATGAATGATGCTACAACTATACATAAAATACTATCTAGCTATTCAGACTTATGATGTCATTATCATGTTTGGTATAGAAAGATATTCTGCTATGTTCCTACATAAAAATGGAGGTTGAAAAAAAGTACAGTTTCTATGGTGTTGTCATATGGAAAGCTGCCTGTGGTTAAATGTGTACAAAAGAAAAGGTGTTGACATTTGTTTTTTGTTAATGTATCCAAAGACGAGTGAGCATGCATTTTTTTTTCTTTTTGCATGTCTGGATTTTCTGGTTTTTCTACAACTGTTGCCTAAACATTCCTAAGCAGATCTCCGCCTCCACCAGTTCTATAGGTCTGGCCAAGGAAGGAAGGAGGGACTGGAAGAAGGGAGGGAGAGAGGGACAGAAGAAAGAAGGCTGCTCTGGCTTCCCGGATCTACTACCTGAAGCAGCCGAGTGTTCCTGGAGAGCTGGGAAGGCCAGAGGAAGTCCTTCAGAATCCTAGGAAGAAGACTGTCTATAGAAGCTTCCTTCATTGGGGGAGAAGGTGCAGCAGGAGGTGCTTTGGGGACTTTGGGATGGTGTGAAATCATTCTGGGAAACCCTGCTCCTCCCTAGTGAGTTTCAGGGCTCCTCCCCGATCATTAGTGTACTTCATGTACTTAAAGGACCAAGGCATCTTGGAAGAGCAGGCAAACAACCACAGGTTCCTGCCTGGAGGAAGGAGAGATCCGAGGGTCCCTTCGTGGGGTCTTCCCTGACTTCCAGATCCAGAATTTCCTGCTATGGACAGGCTGTTCCCATGTTGACAGTCTTTGGGGCCTGCTTTCTTCTCGGGCCTCTAATTTCCCAGCTTTTTCTTTGCCTAAAATCTCCCACTGTTTATTTTGAAATAGGGTCTACATACTGTGGCGCTCATTATGGTCCTGAGTGGGGCACTGTGCTTCCGGTGAGTATTTGTTCATCTGATTTGGTGGTGTTCTCCAAAAAATGAGTTCCGGGTAGACAAGAAGGGTCATTCCCCCAGCTGGGCTGTCACAGGTGGCTGGGAAGACGGGACCAACACTGCCCTTGGAGCTCTTCTGACTTCCTTCAGACTGGGGAAGGACTGAGCGGGATTCTCACGGGTTCCTAATTCTAAATTTACTGGGTAGGGGATGGGACAAGTAACTAGGAAGTCTAGAGTCGTTTTTTGGTGAAAAGGAGAGCTGGGTGACCCTTACAGAGCTCCACTGTTGCCTCCCATGGCCATGAATTGCCATGAAGCCAGCCACTGTACTAATTCCTCCACGATCCTCTCTGGGGGTGGGACTAACACAAAAGCTCATCCATCTGTTGCTCCCTGGTAATGCACTGAGTCAGGCACCCTACTATAGATTTTACAGCAGCAGGTGAGAATGGTCCTTACTCTCACTGGACTCAGTTTATAGCTTGTCAACCCTCTGTATCTGTGGTTTCTTCAATTACAGATTCAACAAACTGAATTGAAAATATTAAGAAAAATTTGCATATGTGGTGAACATATGCAGGCTTCCTAATTATTACTTCCTTAAATAACAGCTTACTTATTTATGTACTGTTTGCCTCGTGTTAGGTATTACAATAATGTAGAGATGGTTAAAGTATTCAGGAGGATGGACACCAGTTAGATGCAAATACTACAGCCATTTTATATAACAGCCTTAGCATCTGTGGGTTTGGTTATCTGTAGGGGGTCCCAGAACCAATCCCTGTGCTACCAAGGAGTTGGAGAATTTCCTCGTGTGTTCTCTGAAGCTTAGTCCCATGAGATAGTTCATGCAACAGTGTTCTCTGACTGAGTAAGATGTAGAATGCTGCTTCCTCGTCATATTTGGGGCTAGGGAGATGGCTCAGGGGATAAAGTTCCTGTTAGGAAATGTGACTTCCAGAGTCCATATCCCCAGACTCTGCATAAAAGCCTAGTGGGTGTCTGAAGCCAGCCTCTAATCTCAGTACCTGGGATGGAGAGACAGGAGAACCCTGGGGCAAGATGGCTAGACTAGTCAAATTGGCAAGCTCCAGGTTCAGCAAGAGCCCCTGCCTCAGGAAATAAAGTGATGCAAGATTAAGAAAGACACCCAAGGTGGAGTCGTGGCCCCCATGTACATGCTCATACTTGTGGGCATGCACACCACACACACACACACACACACACACACACACACACACACACACACACATACACACACACACACCCCACATACACACACTCGTGCAAAAAAATGTTTGGCCAGACATCAAAACCATTTTTACACTGCCAAGTTTTCCCCATATGACATCAGCGGAGGTCTACTTAAGTCTGCTGAAGGTCTACTTAAACATATTTCACCTTACAGAGTGTCAAAAAAGCAGCTGAAAAGTAACTTTGAAAAATAAAATAGAGCTTTAAAGACAGTCCTCAGGATGGAATATACAGTCCAGTGGAAGCAAATGTGATTCGAAATGCTCAGTAAGAATGGAGGGAGCCGAGAAGAAGAGTCAGGCAGAACTATGAGTTTGAGGCCAATCTGGTCTACACAGTGAGTTCCAGGCCAATCAGGGCTATACAGTGAGATCCTGTCTCAAACAGCAAAACAAAACCAAAAAACCAAGCATCAGATTTTAATTCAGAAGAGTTCTGGGTGCTATTTAACCCACTGTCATGGTTTAGCAATGAAGAGTCATACCCAGAGAGGGCAAGTATTTAGTTTGCTGCAGCTCATCCCCAAACCTTCCTGTGCAGAGTTAGCTCAGGTAAAACCCTCTTCTGCTCACAGGGATCCCACAGGGCCAAAAATGTCTAAACAACTTGAGGCTCATCAATACAGGTTTAATAAAAAAGAAATCTGTGTGTCACGGACATTAGAGAAGGTTGGAGAAGTGGTCTCCTGGCTTTGAAGAGCCCAGGGCTCCAACTCATAGACTCTTCCAACCTATTAGAAAGGAGATTTTCTGGGATATAAAAGGTTTCATATGGGGAGAGAGCAGACCTCAGATACAGATAGGTGGCAGAGGGGTCATCTTGCAGAGCTAGGACTGAAAGCTGGTGGCTATGTCTGGCACAGTGGAAATAGAAGAAGAGAAGATACCTGAGTTTTGGGAGACCTTCTGGAGCCAGGGCAAGGTAAAGTGCTCATCCCTGCTCTTATGGACTCTTGTCCCTTCCTGGTGTTTCAGAATGAAGGATTCAGCCTTGAAGGTACTTTACCTGCACGACAACCAGCTGCTGGCTGGAGGGCTGCATGCGGGGAAGGTCATTAAAGGTTGGTATCTACAAGTCCCAGGCCTCTGTACTCTCTAGGGTATGTGTTGAGAAGCCTTGAATGGCTCTGTAAACCAGCGGCAGGCTTGCAGACCCACAAATCGCCATGTCAGATAGGGCAACATAAAACAGGCTTCAAGGAAAGTGGGGACCCCAGGGAAGCCTATGTAGAAGTGGGATATTGTCCAGGACAAACAACTTACCTTTCCATCACAGACTATTTTGGGTATTCTATCACCCTTAGAGACAGTACTGTGCAAAGGGCTGAAATAGTTCTTCATTCCCGAGTGAGTGGGCTCTGCTCCTCCATCCTTCTCTCTAGCGATCCTCGGTTACCCTCAATGCTGAGATCTGGATGGGGTTGAGGGGGAGCTCTGGCCTCTTGCTTACTCACTGTGCCCTCATACATTGACAGGCCTTTCCACATTGGTGCATACATGTTTACGTGGGCACCCTTATGAGGTACTAGGTCCATTTGCTGCGCTGTGTGTACACGTGTGCATATGTGAACACCACATAAGGGTACAGCTATATGTGAATGCACAAGCTCATGTACATAAATATGGTTATGTGCTTAAGTATGTGTATGCATAGTGTTTGCACATAAGCATTGTATGTGTGCCTATCGATATGTACATGTTTTGATTATGTGTAATATGTAGAGGGTGCACACATATGTAATTATAGCTATGTAAATATGCATGCATAGATGTAATATGTGTGTGATTGTCTGTGCATGTGTACACGGGATGAGGGGTGATGTGCAGAGTGAAATCCTCTTCTGCAGAAATCCCACAGCGGCTAAAGACACTACGCAACTCTAACAGGATAAGACAAGGTCCAGAAAAGAGACCTGGGAGTCAGGGGAGTTAAAGGGGGTGGTGGGAGGGGTAATCTCTTGGAATTTAGAGAATCTATCAAAGTTTAGCCCTGAGCAAGAGGGATGGGGTAGGAGGTCTTCCCTGGTGTTCCTGTGCTTTGGTTTACAACCTGGGCCAGGTGGCAGGAGATTAGCCTTATCCGTGTGTTGGAAGGCAGGATGCCTCACACTGGCTCCAAGCCCTTTAAGACCCTACTCCTGGGGGAGAGTGGGCAGAAAGACAGCAAGTTCCCGAATCTTGCCTTTTTCCTCTAGGTGAGGAGATCAGCGTCGTCCCAAATCGGGCACTGGATGCCAGTCTGTCCCCTGTCATCCTGGGTGTTCAGGGAGGAAGCCAGTGCCTGTCCTGTGGGACAGAGAAAGAGCCGACTCTGAAACTTGAGGTGAGTCCTGCTGCAGCGTCTTCACCTTCTGGGCCTGAGGCAGGAGAGGCGAGCACACTCTGCCACACTACAGCCTAGGTACCTTCAGATGCTGGCAAAGGCATGTTGAGCCAGCGCTGCCCCCTCCCTGGGGACCTTTCCCTTGCCCAGCTTTGCTCTCTCTCTTTGGCACTCCTGTGTCTCATCCCTCATGGCCCTTTTCTACAGCCCGTGAACATTATGGAGCTTTACCTCGGGACTAAGGAATCCAAGAGCTTCACCTTCTACCGGCGGGATATGGGCCTCACCTCCAGCTTCGAGTCAGCCGCCTACCCCGGCTGGTTCCTCGGCACTGCGCCCGAAGCTGACCAGCCTGTCAGGCTCACCCAGATCCCTGAGGAGGCCGCCTCGGACGCTCCCATCACGGACTTCTACTTTCAGCAATGTGACTAGGACTGCATGGTCCCCCAAACTCCCTAGGCAGAGGCAGAGTAGGCAAGGCGGGTGAGGGGCAGGTAGTGATAGAGGAGCTCCAGGGTGGGTGACTTACTCCTCTCCCTCCCCTTTCCCCTGGGGACTCCCACTCTGACTTGGGAGGCACACAGCCATTCTCTTCTCCGGGTTCCCAACAAATTCTTCTTTGGGTATCCGGAGCTCAGTGTGTGGGCTCCTTCCGCACTGGGTGGTACTACCTCTGGTGTGGAACCTATACAAACCGCATAGGACTAACAAAGAACAGCATAAAGAGATTCTCGGGTGAGAGAGTGGTGGGGTGGCTGATGCATTGTGAAATCTGACACAGTGCCTCAGAAGTTCTACCATCCCCTACTGGGCAGGAGAAGGAGGTATCACGAAGATCTTTGGCTGGCTGGGCCCCTTCCCTCAATCCTGCAGCTCACATCCACTGCCTCTCTTATCCCTGCCTTTATTCTCTGGCCCTGGACTGAGAGGGCGATGTCAGGATAGAGGACAGAAGATGGCCAGGCACACTGTCCTGGTTTGAAACCAGAGGTACAATAAAAATCCCTGATTCTGATGTCTACTCACACAGAAAGATGCTCGTGAACGTTGGGTGGCAAGAGTTTGCTACAAAGTAATGTATCTTGTATTTTCACCTTAATTAAAATATACTTATCTGTATTATATGTTTTAAAAGAGGTCTGGAAGTGTTCACATCAATTGTAGCAATGTCCAGGTGGGGGCAGTATAGGTGATGTTTCTTTTTATTTGTGTTTATTAACTTTTCCATTATGGAGATGCATTACTTACATAATACTAAGAAAGGGAATCAATATGGTGTGAACTGGAGCAGACATAACTTCTCATTGTCCTCACCCTCTGTTGCCCTGAAGTGAAATCCAAATAGAGCTCAGCTGCTCTGAGTGGCAGGCAAATCCCAGGAAGAATGTAAAGCTTTTGTGCTGGAAAATAAAAGAGGGAAGGAGTGGAGGGAGGGAGGGAGAAAGGAAGAAGGAACAGAAGAGAAGGGAAAAAGCTACCCTGTACTTTGATCTGGGGTGGTTGCAACCCCTGGGATTCTGAGTGACAGCCAGCTTCTGAGGGGGCCACTGTGCTGGTTAGAAAGTTCCCTCCTCAAATTAATGCCCTTCCCCAATCTATGAGGATCTCCCCTGGGCAGAGTCTTTACAGTTAGAGTGTTGGACTCAATCTCCCTTGACTGGTGTCCTTCAAAAATGAGGACTTGACACAGAAGAGGCACAGGGGACAGACCCATGTGACACAGAGGCAAAGGCTGAAGTGATGTTGCTGCCACCAGCAGAAGAGGGCCACGGACTGTGTGGACCACCAGAAGCAAGGAAGAGAGGAGGAGGGGTTCCTCTCCTGAGCAGCAGAGGTGATAGCGGGTTACTACAGAGAGCGGATTGGATTATAAAAGACACTTTAGTGAGTTCTTTGGGGCCCTGTTCTTTCTCTGTACACTGGGGGAAGCCAGATTCTATGCTGTAAGCTGCCCTAAAGAGAGGCCGTATGGGACATGGACAACAGCTCCCACAGACAACAGCTGCATGTGTGCGCTCAGAAGCAGAGCCTGCCGGCAGCCTTGCAACCCAGCTGCTGGCTTGAATACAGTCTCACGAGAGACTGGAACAGAACTGCCCAACCAAGCTCCTCCAGATTCCTGCCTCATAAAAACACTGTAAAACAATCAATCTAGATTCTGGAGTACATTGATAAGCTGCAGTAAGTAATAGTCAATGAAAAAGAATCATGTGCATTTACTTTATTATGATTAACCCATTTTCCTCCAGTATCTTCATTTTCCTTCTCAAAATGAACACCAGCCCTTTATTAACCCAAATAGCCCATTTAAAAGCTGAGCATGCTTCACTTGTTAATTGTTACCTGTTACCATAAGGTTTCATTCATCTCTGCACCTCCTGCCTCTAATATTCCTGCCTAAAACATTGGGGACTAAGAGTGAAAGCAAAAGAAGGGGCCCATTTCTGAGCCCCAAGTATTCAGCTATAGCTCACTTGTCAGGCCAGCTTGGCAGGTTTAGAGTTGGCAGGCCAGTAGAAGGACCAGCAAAGAGGTGGCCAGGACAGAAGAGACAGCCTCCATTGTCCTAGAATCTTCAGTCCAGATACATCTAAGATTTCCTGAGCAACAGGCAGCACCATTTCTACCACAGGCCCTTGGGGATACTGAGGACACCAACCTCAGCTGCCAGGCTCTTTCTGCATCCCCCATTCACAATGTCTGTCTGTGAGTCAGAGAATCTCATGGTGCGTTTTCTATTTGAGGACATTACACCCATCCCATCTGCCCATATCTGCTAAGGTATCACCTCCTGTAAGAAGTATTTGAAGAGATGAGCTCCCTGGTCATATGCTATGATGATACTCAGTGCTTATCACAGCGTCAAAAGTTGGCTTGGTGTCTGTGGAACCCAGATGACCTTAAGGTTGGAGCTGGATCTATATGTTTTTGAGCACCTAGAATAATAATTGGCAAACTTTTGGAACATGGTGAGTACAGAATGTGGAAACTCACAATTCTGGAACATCCTCTCCCTTTCCTCTACCATTCTAAACCCTTATGAAAGAGTAGCTCAAATCCCACCTATTCTCAAAGGTCAGAGTGGTTGATTCATCCTTTGTAGGGTGGCAGAATTCAAAAAAACTTTGGCCTAGATGAGCTGACACTTCCTTCCGAAGCCAGAGGGGAAGAAGGAATAGAAACACATTTGTTTTGTCATTGCTACAACGGTAACAGACAAGGGAGGCATGTACGGCCTGAGAGAGTCTGGCGTTATGGCTGTTCAGATGAAAACAACCTAGTGTTTTTAGATTTCTGTAATTTTGGTAGAAGCCTTATCTTCTTGTAGGAAGGAATGGGGGTGGGTGGGAGGAGGAAAGAGGGGGTCTGTGATTGGTACGTAAAATGAACAAAAAATTTCTTAATTAAAAAAAAAAAAGCTGAACAAAGCAACCCAGTATGACCAAGCTGTACAACTGCAACATAGATGCAGAGGGCCTAGGTGAGTCCCATGCAGTCTCCCTGGTTGTCATTTCAGTCTCTGTGATCCCAGGCTAGTTGATTCTGTGGGTTTTCTTGTGATGTCCTTGACCCCTCTGGTTCCTAAAATCATTCTTCCCTCTCTTCAGAAGAATTCCCCTAAGCTCTGCCTAATGTTGGACTGTGGGTCTGCATCTGTTCCCACCAGTTGCTTGATGAAGCCTCTCTGATGACAATTGGGGTAATCACCAATCTATGAGTATAGCAGAATATTGTTAGGTGTCATTACATTGGCATTATAGTTTTCCTCCAGTCATTTTTGGTTCTATCCTAGGTCTCTGGGTCATCCAGCCTGTGGGTACTGGTATTCCAGGCAGTGTCAGGAGTGGGCTTACTCTCCTGACATGAGTTTTAGGCTAGGCCAGTCATTGGTTGGCCACTCGCTCAGTCTCTAGGCCACCCTTACCCCAGCACATCCCATAGGCAGGACAGACTGTAAATCGAAGGTCATGTGGCTTGGTTGATTTCCCGCTCCCTCCACTTGAAATCTTGCCTGGTCACAGGAGATGGCCAGTTCAGGCTATGTATCGCTATTACTAGGAGTCTTAGCTGGGATCCTTGCTGATTCCTGGGAGATTTCCTTGCACCAGGTTTTTAACTGACCCCAAAATTCCCCCCTTTCCAGTAGTCTCTTTCAGTACTCTCTCCCTCTGCCCACCAAATCTGATCAATCATGTACCCATCCCCACCTACCCTCAGTACACTCATGAAATTTCTTCTATTTCCCCTTCCCAGGGAGATCTGGGTGTTCCCTCTTGAATCCTCCTCATTACCTAGTGGATTGTATCATAGTTTTCCTTTATTTTATAGCTAATATCCACTTATGAATGAGTACATACCATGTTTGTCTTTCTGAGTTTGGATTACCTCGCTCAGAATGAATTTTTTCTGGTTCCATTTGCCTGAAAATTTCATGATGTCATTGTTTTTAACAGCTGAGTAATACTCCATTGTGTAAATGTACCACCTTTTCTTTATCCATTCTTCTGTTGAGGGACATAGAGATTCTTTCCAGGTTCTGGCTATTATGAATAAAGCTGTTGTGAACATAGTTGGGCAAGTGTCCTTGTAGTATAATAAATGGGCTGAGAAACAAATTAGGGAAACAACACCTTTCACAATAGCCTCAAATAACCAAGCAAGTGAAAGACCTGTATGACATGAACTTCAAGTCTTTGAAGAGAGAAAAATTGGAAAAGATATCAGAAAATGGGAAGATCTCCCATGTTCATGGATTGGTAGGATTCATAAAGTAAAAATGGCCATCTTACCAAAAGCAATCTACAGATTCAGTGCAATCCCCATTAAAATCCAAACACAATTAGTCAGACCTGGAAAGAACAATACTCAACCTCATGTGGAAAAACAAACAAACAAACAAACAAAAACTATGATAGCTAAAACAATCTTGTACAATAAAAGGACTTCCAAAGGTATCACATTGCCTGATCTCAAGCTGTACTACAGAGCTATAGTATTAAAAACTGATTGGTACTGGCATAAAAACAGACAAGCAGACCAATGGATTCTAATCTAAGACCCTGATGTAAATCTACACACCTATGGACACCTGACTTTCGACAAAGAAGCAAAAATTATACAATGGAAAAAAGAAATCATCTTCAACAAGTGGTGCCGGTCTAACTGGATGTCTGCATGTAGAATAATGTAAATAGACCCAGATCTATCGCCCTCCACAAAACTTAAGTCCAAGTGGATAAAAGACCTCAACATAAATCCAGATACACTGAATCTAATAGAAGAGAAAGTGGGAAACACCTTGAATGCATTGGCCCGGGAGACAACTTCCTGAGCAGGGCACCAATAGAGCAGACACTAAGATCAACAATTAATAAATGGGACCTCAGGAAACTGAAAAGTTTCTTTAAGGCAAAAGACACTATCAAAGAAATAAAATGGCAGCCTACAGAATGGGGAAAGATCTTCACCAACCCCACATCTGACAGAGGGCAGATTACCAAAATACATAAAGAACTCAAGAAGCTAGACATCAAAAAAAAACCAAATAGTCCAACTTAAAAATAGAGTA